TTCAGCAGATACATCTGCTGTGGAAAGGCTGGAGAACCCTCCCCTGGAGAGCTGCTCAGCAGAAACAGCCACGAGGGCCAAGAGCTGCCACAAAGCCCTTCCCCTGACTGGAAAAGGAAGGTCAGAGCCTCTCCTCGACCTCTCCCCACTGAAGGATCCCATCTTCTTCATCTTCACCTGGTCGTTCCTGTTCAGCCACCTGGCTTACTTCGTGCCCACCTTCCACCTGGTGGCAAGAGCCAGGACTCTGGGCATCAGCAGCATGGATGCCTCTTACCTTATTTCAGTGGCTGGTAGGCAAAAGTGTCTTTTAAACCCATTTATAATTCCAATGGTACCCCAAAGAGGAAAGAAAAGCAACTCAAATCTTGCCCAGAATAGTCCCAAGCGTGTCCTAGAATCAATCTGCATGGCTGGGGTTCAGCTCACAGCCCTCACCCCCTTCTGTATATATAGTGTTGCCTTCTGTACATCTACAGAGTCTCTCTCACATGGTGGGTGGTTCTCTCAACCCAAGCCTGATGATCCCCCACCCTTGTTGCACACCAAACACACACAAGTTTCTGATTACATAGGTGCTATCTGTCCTCCTAGAGCCTTCCCACCACCCCTGCTAGGCTCAAACCCACCAGGCACAGAAATCCCCAGTCACTCCGTGTTCAAAGACCTCCAGTTTGACCCAGGCATGTGTGCAGAGAGAGAAAAGTTCAATATTGGGAGGAAAAAAAAGCAAGCAAACAACACTACCTTGGATCTAGGCGTTTGAATTTGGCACTTCCACCTCAAAAGGGAACAAAAACCAACCCCCAACCCTCCAAAAAAACTAAACCATGCCTAATTCTAAGCAGGGATGAACACTAAAGTCACATTGGGGTAAGAAAACAGCTGAACCTCAGTCACCATAAAATATTTTATTGTGCAAAATGGCATTTTCTACACTGCAGTATAATATTTAGGCACGACGTGTGCTGCCAAGGCATCCAGAAGAAAAATGCAGCAATTAATCTGACATCCTGAATTAAGAGGAGGAGGGATGCAGTGGTCAGCAAGATCTGGGCTGACAGGGAGAACTCTGATCTTGAGTTCATAAAAAATATACCAAGAAACATAAAAAAAACCAAGTATCAAAAGTTGGCTGAGCCTTAAGAAAAGTGCTGAGCTTCTGTCTGTCTCTCCTTGATAAAAATCAGAACCTCCCAAGCACATTTCTCCTGAATATTCTGCTTTTCCTCTAACCTGAAAAAGGAGATGGAGCAGCAAGCTCCTCTGTCCTGTTTTTCCTGGAGGGTGTTTCAGGGTTGGCCCTGCTGAGTGCACAGCCCTGAAGTGGATTTGAGAGACCACTCTTGGTGCACCCACAGGGGCTTGGCAACAACGGGCACCGAGGTCAGGAGACCAAAAAAAAAGCAGCATGACTTTGACATCAGCCTAAAACCCCTTCCCTGCAACCTCCCAGCACTTCAGCCTCCCTGGCCACGGCCTCAGAGGGAGCAGGAGGTGGAACTGGGCTGAGTTTCAGAGCCATGGAGTGCAGAAGAACCAAAAAAATGACAAAGAAAGGGTTTTTTTTTGAGGCTCTAATGAACTCCTCTTCCCCCAGGCATCACAGAGACCCTCAGCCAGCTGCTCTCAGGCTGGGTGGCCGACCAGAACTGGACCAAGAAGTATCACTACCACATGGCTTACCTGCTCCTCGGGGGCATCACCAACCTGCTGTGTCCTCTGGCCACCACCTTCCCCTCACTGATGACCTATGCAGTGGCCTTCGCCGTGTTCTGCGGGGGGTTCATGGCTCTGGTGCTCCCTGTGCTGGTGAGGAGGAGATTTGGTTACCCAAATGTAGCTCCGTGGCATTTCTGATGTCTCAAACTCAGCCCCAAAACCTTCTTTTGGAAAGCTGAATGACCCTGGGCTGTTGCAGATCTGTGTGGGAGGTCTGTCCCCTCCAGCACTGGGGAGCCTCAGATCTCTCCAAGCCTCTCACTGGTCTCCACAGCCCAAATGCAACTAAAAATGGAGATATTTTTAAACTGATTGCTTTCCACCTCCTCCATCCTGAAGGAGGCTGCTCCAGCTTGTCGGATTCAGAGCTTGTAGCATTCAGAATAGTCCAAGCCATCCCTGCTGACACAGAGGCTTGGGCAAATCTGCTCCCAGTCCCAGAGTCACCTCTAACACACAGAGACCAGTTACAGCAGGATCCAACTGGGGAGGCATCTTTTTTCATTTGGAATTTCTTTCTGGAAAGGAATTTAGAGTTTAAAACACCTTCCTCAAAGCTGCAGCAGAGATGCCCAAACAGCTGGAAGGCAGAACAGCATCTGGCTTCCCAGCAATTTCCACACTGGCCTTCAGGAGGCGAGAGGATTCCAGGCTGGATCAGCCCTACAGGGACAAAGTCCTTTCAAAATGCAGCTGAGGAGGAAATTCCCCAGGAAAAAAAGA